GGGCTCTTCAGAGGGTTGTTCTGTCCATAGTTGCCACGGCCAGTGCAGGCTGTGCTTGTGACACTTCAAGGTGTTGTCATATACGATTTAGATATTTTGGCTTATAGAATTCTGAAGATATCGCAATGGTCAGTCACTAAAATGTGTTCGATCATTAAACAGTCTTCAAATAGTGACACTTAAGTGACAGACTTAAGCAACTATGTTAAGCGACTACTCAAGTTAGACAGCCCTTGTACTTTCCCTTATCGTCCAGAAACATCCCCTCAACGTAGAAACTCACGCGGTTGATTGAAGTCCAAAACACGCTCATCTGAAAACCCTGACTCGTGTTGGTATCATATTACAACCTGGTAATTTCGGCAGAGACTCCTAGACTACAGGCAGCTATCTCGCCGGCTGAAGTTAGCGAAAATTGTCACCGGTGGCAGTAGGTGCCTGCTTCATATCCGAGATATGGTCAAGAAAACTAGAGGTGACAAAGTTAGCGTCCTTTCTGCAACAGAGGCAGATCGACAGAACAATTCAAACTTCAATTCACAGGCTGCGAATGGAAAATCTATCGCGATCTTTAGTAAGAAATACGCAGACATTTTCAGCGGATTTTCCTTCTGGCTGACGTTACAATGCCTATCATAGGCTTTGATTGATATAACCATCAAGATCTCGTCGTAGATGTCCACCGACAATTACTGATAGTCGGCACCACCAGACTGTCTATTTAAAACATCACCTATATAGGTCACAGATTGCCACAAGTTAGGCGGTAGTTCATCCGACTGTTGACAAATACCCAGAACTGGATTGCCTCTCTAACAATCTGCCTTGTGTAACCAGCAATGTTATGCATCGCATCACGACCTCAGGACAACCTGTGACATTCAAAGCAGGAAAACTTGTTCCTGTTAATCCTTGACTGGCGATAAATGAATCTGACCATATGCTCACTCTTGGCATTATTCGGCCATCAAATAACTCAAGTGCTTCCCTACTCCATATGGTAGGAAAAGAAGATAGCAATGATTGGCGACCAACTGGTGATTACCGGAGACTGAAAGCCAAAATGACCCTAGATTACATGATTTAACGGTGGCATTATCTGGTGCAACCATTTTTGAAAAACAGGTTCGGTTATAGCACACAACCAAATTCCGGTAGACACAGAAGACACTCCAAAAATAGCTATCATTACGCCTTCCGGACTGTTTGAATTTCTGCGTATGCCGTTCAGTCTCCGGAATGCAGCCCAAACATTCTGAAGATTAACTGATGGAGTACTACATGATTTTTTTACTTTGTATGCGCACACTAAGAAGACTGCCTCATTGAGAGTCAAGACGCTTGGACTTTCATTCAACAAGAGACGCCAACATGGTTTTCCCATTTATATCCAAAGTTATCGAATAGGATTAGAATCACTGGACATTCTCGGCCACATGACTCACTCCAAGAGTATCCGCCCACCGAACGGTAAGGTATTTTCAAACTTTCTGGAGCGAAGGACGGTGAAAACTTTTCACACATTCAGTGGTTTAGCAAGTTATTGCCGATGCTTTGTTCAGCCGCCAACAGACTCACTTCTAGGAGGTTACAAGTCCATTGAACTTGATGCGTCCGCTAAAATGCTTCCCTTCAGGTTAAAAAACCATGCTGAGGGCAACCCTATTTATGTCTCCGGATACAGCAGCACCATTATGTATCTCTGAAATCGGCGCCGTTGTGCAACAACTGGTCATCATTAACTGGCAACCAATCACCCTTTTCTAGAGGTGCCTACAATTATGGTTCATGTTGTAAAGCTCAATAAATACGTTCATTACAATGAGTTAATAGTCTTCACGCTTGCCGAAATTCACCATGATTGAAAAACACTCTGAGTTTTCCACACAGAATCTACGAGAAGACTAATCTGATATCCGCAGAAGACAAAGATAGAAATAGTGTCTTCAATCAAATACACACATTTGCCTTACAAATAGGGGACCATATTGCTGTTGATATACTACGCCATCGTTGAATCTTTTTTAAATTTTGACAGATTATTTATTATCTCTAATTTCTGTCTCCCTAAAGACTGTTGGCTGCTGAGTCTTCATTTACTTTTGAGGCGAACTCCTTTTAACTCTCATGAAAATAACAGCGGCAGTCATTGGTTAATTTTTATTCTTCGCAATCAATGAATATTCACGCCTTTTGCTTCAAACATTTTCCGCATGTCTCTTCCAGACTTTTATATCCTTAGTTCTGTTGTTATATGACAATTATTACATAATATACATATATAGTCTTCGCTCAGCATCCTAATTAATTATTTCGCTCTTTTCGTGGATTGCTTGTATTCACACTCTTCACAAAGTATTGGTTGTGACTCGTTGTTAAGCCTTTCAGCTTATCATCGATCTTAGTGATGGCAAGGTAATATAGATAGTGTATATTTAAATCTCCTCTCAAATGTTCTTCATCTATTGGTGAACTGTTACTTGAGACAGTGTAAGTTCTCACCAATGGTTCGTCTTCTGTCTTTTTTCGTATCTCGGGTCTTTGTTGTTGTGGTTGTTGACATTGTAATTGTGAATAGACTGCTGGTACTATTATCGGTAATAACATACCGTCAGCCCTCTTTCATTCTCTGGTGCTGATCTATCTCCGCATTCATCACCCATTGACGTTTATGTGCATTTCTCAGACGACCATCCACACTTCTGTCTCTCGCTGAAAACAATGCTCACACTCTTGGCGTTCCCGTGTGCCGTAGTATTTTATGAAACCGTTCCATTCATCACTCTCCGTTTTCTTGACTTGATGTTTCAAGTCTTCGACAGATGCACCACAGGATTTCAACTACTCACTCCTCCTGTAGCTCCACAATACAAATAGTCACTTAAAGCTAGTTTCGGATTAGTTCTATAACTATACTTGTCCATCTTCCGTGCAACACACAGCCTTTTAAGAATTGATCCAAGTATGAAACACATGAAATAACTGCATAAATAGTCATGTCACTGTCTCATTTGTGCACAACGTTCCTCGTATGATTACAGATGACTGATGATGTCATAACTTTACAGATTGAATAATCCTGTATCTGTGTATACAATGTTCGGTTTTGACTCCCTGGTATATTCAGCTTCAAAATCCATTTCCACTTGTCAGCCTCATTCATGACAAATGACAGATTATTTGTTCACGAGATTTACATCCGTTCCGCGCACACAAGCGTTATATAAACTGTTCATAATTATGCAACGCTACATTTCGTTAGATTCCAGTTATTGTAGTGGAAACGAAACATCAATCCGATTATGAATGACCGCTTACTACTCAGCTTATTGTGTACGGTTGAGCAGGCAACTTCAAATAGGCACTTCCTCTCACTATATGACTAATAGGTCGAAGAGATGTTGACTCTCAGTAGACTAACCGATGAGTGACTCCACACTGACGAGTAACACACCATTGCAATGGTTGTAGTCAATCAGTTTGTTAAGAATGCGACAGTTTGAAAGTATGGAAGAGGAAACAAGTCAGCTAAGAACTTATGACAATAACTGAAGAATCTCTGAAAATTCGATATTCACACTTTCCGACGATAAACGAGATCATAATCAAAATGCTTTTCTGGCTGTTTTATTGCAGTCTCAAACATGCAGTAGATTAGGTTTTAAAAACAATTCAATAAAAATCAGTAGTCAACTCAACCAGGACTAACCATATAACATTCTGTAGTGAATAATTTACTTTGCTTTCCCTTTGTTCTTAGCATCACTATCGTTGTTCGCAGCTTGATTCTAGTGAAATTTATAAATGATGTCCTACTTGACCTCATCTACTTAAGCATACTACAAATGAACATTATTCAAATAAGCTATGCAGAGGTTCCGATGCTTAGATCACGCTTCGCCTACTTCAGTCTGGGTCGGTTGGCAGTATAATCGCCCCTCACACAATAAGTTTGGCTCATATCCCACTATCATGTAACCAAAGTAGAGTCATATTGCAGCTCTAAATTATCATCTAAGAGTCAAAGTGAGGATTGGAAGCCTTTCATCAGTGTGAGTAGCTTGCACTAGTTGTTCATCTACTCATTTAGCATTTGAGTGAGAAATAATGTGATTTGAAGGCCCACTTTATTACCTGTTCGCACTCTTAACCCACGCTGTACAAACTACTTGTTCAAGACATCGAATCACACATGAAATGAAGAAAGAGATTTTGTTCAACTCGGTCAACAGATGAAAGCATCACGTGAAGTGTGTTGTCGTGATTCCGAGAAGCAAATTTTACTCAAGACACCACAAAATGAGCTATTCCCGTTCTGCAGAGGCAGAACAGTTGATAAGAACAATCGACATTTGTCAGAGCATCTCAACTAAATATGTATTTGTTTCGCATACACCGGACTCGCGTATCATCATTCGAAAATTCAGTGTGTATTCATCAGGCCTACTCAAAGAGGAGTTCGTCAAGTGTCTCTGCTTTTGACTAGCTACTATTTTCAATGCTTCATTTTGATACTCTGTGCCCCTGCGCTGTTAACGATAAGATGTTTATTTACTATCTCGAATTTCGTTCGGCGAATTCGAGATTGTGTCGTCGAGTGGCTACTGTCCCTTGAACTGTGTGTTCGAAGTGTATTCTGTTCTGTTCGGTCCTTCGAAACACACCTGTGTTCCTATTTTGTCAGGAGTGTTCTTCTCAACTCTCAGGTGCTCCACAGTTAAGTTTGGTTAATTGAATCAGCCGTGTAATATGTGTTTCGCACCTCATAAACCTTATGCGATTGTATCATATTTTTGTGAATTTCATCATGTTAAATCGTGATAAGTTACTATTGGAATATAACTTCTCAGCTTGTGTGACTCATGAAAGTTTGTGACACTGTGCAGAGGAACTGAGTGAATCTTGTGAAAGTACTGACTTGGTTACGTTGATCGGTTGCTGGCAATAAAATCAAGTTACTAATGTTCTGGTCGTTAATTGCACCTCGCACTCTGAAAGTCAAATAAACAAATCGTTCACAGCACTACCAATGTCTCACCATTCGAATGCATCTTCTCTTCCTCAGAGGCTTTGCATAGTGTTCTTTCTATCACAGTGAATGTAGCCAGTTTTAATCACTGACTTAATCACTGATTCCGGCCGAAAGAATGACTCTTTCGCAAAATAATGTTTCTTTGACTGACAGACAGATAATTAACAAAACGTGTGCTGAACACAATTACAAATTTCTTTTCAATTTAGCACAGTTTATACATTTCTCAAGAGTTGAACCGTAGAGGTGTCTCTGGAAACTGTTCTCATCACAGACCTTCCGTATTTATTGGTTTCCAGTGCGATGACTAGCGTGTATAGTATGCATGTGGCGACCATAACCCACTCAGCCATAGCACAGTAAACGAATTCCCAGTATCCCTGTTCAAATAGAAAGAATTGAGAGGTTAGTCTTTCATTCATGGCAGTTCAATTCAAAATGAAGCAAGTAATACGGAGGATGACTGAATCCCTTCTTGAAATAATCCCATTCAATTCGCTACCTGTACACTGGGTTTCTTCGCCTCAATATCCAGCTAGATAAACGATCATGACATCATTCAATTTTGATGACGACTTATCCGCCTAATCAAGTTCTCATGAAATCCAGGAAATATTGTTCAAACAATGTGGCCTGATTACCCAATTTACTCTTAAGGAATCAATTCACACAGTTGACACGTAACAGCTGACTCTGACTCGAAAATGCAAACAGGGATTCAAAAGATAGCGACATGGAGCGCATTTCAATTGTGTTCACATAGAATCAGGTAAACTGACATTGAGTAATGGCGAATAGGCAAATTAGCTAGTTGGTGAGATGGCGGTCAACCACTGTCGGAGGTCAACTTTGGTGAGTGTTGTAAATAAATTATCAGTCATTATAATCGCCATCACTTCTTAACTCTTCATGTATTATACGTGCTCTTCTGTTTACGGAAGGGATTGCACTGACATTCTGATCTTCGTATTCTCTGTGTATTTACAATTTTTTATGTTGTAACTATTCAAGCTGCATTTTGAGCATATGTCACATGCATCTAAAATGTTCCTTTCTCAATGAATGATCAAGGATGATTTCTAAAGAAAACAAAATATATATACATACTTACACCATCTGTCGGTAGCATTCGATAAATGTTTAGTGTATCCAGTACAGGGAGACCAAGAAAGTTGAAATAGACAACTGAAAATGGTTAAAAAGAGATAAATTATACAGCTGTGTAAATTATCCGAGTTAGTTATGATTACATACCGATTTCGTCTCAATGGTTATTAAGACTTATCACTCAGGAAACGAACTTCTACCAAATTACATACATATAATTTTCTATGGATTATAGTTCCAACAAAACTGCCATGCGGTGAAATTCAACCGCTTACAATTAAAATTGAAATTAATACAACTGAAGCTACCAACCTGTTAATATATTTACGACTGTCCATCCAACTAATAAATCAAAACTACTTCAAGGAGTGGACCAAGCATCAGAACATTCTGAGCACAAAAAATTCTCAGTCAATGTTCACAAGAGTTTTGAAGTGCCTGCTGTGAACATATTCATCTTCCGAATGATCAGCTGCGAGATGAAACTGTCACATAGACATCCTGAAATTCTCTCTACTTAGTCATATTGAACTATTCGACAATCAGTCTGTGCCTGTCATCGACAAACTGACAGAGGGAGAAATCACAATTCCTCAACTCATGGGTTCATTCTAGCAATAGAATAACCAACTTTCACTCACATCCGTCATTTCCGCTTGATATATTTACTTAATGCATCCTAGTATAGGAATCCAAAACTGTGTGCGTGCATTACTGGACCCAACCACACTTCCCTGCATTACCCACCAAATGTCAAGCGAGTGTATTTTTACTCACACAACTTTGATATTTACTTGCCAGTAGTTTCCACAAATATCAACACATTTGCATACTTCAGAATTTGCGAATTCACAGAATGGTAAAATTGCGTCCTAATGAATCATCATGTAATAGTAGTTATCTGAAATGCACATCTATGTAATTTCTACCACTCATGCACTGTTGTGCACTGTCGTATTACTTGGGATAAACTCTTAAACACTACTCATCAATCATGAGCTGCAAACTATAATCAATTTGATGAAATAAGCATGGAAACTTACACGCTATAGCACTGAGTAGCATTTTGATGGTCAGTATGAATCGAACACACCAGAACCAACGGGAATCTTCGAAATACTTGAACAACAAACAACCACCCAACATAGCTGATAGGCCATGACAGAAGAAGTTGCAAACAGTCATCAGGTAGTGGTGCCAATTATATTTTTCCATCTGTAGATGAAATACAAAGGTGTAATTAAGAGAAATTAGGTGTACTTGAGTTAAGTTCAATAAGAGGAGAAATTATATGAATCATTTGTATTCATGCACTTGATCCAAAATAGACGGTGGCGACTGAAGAGTTGTTGAAAATAATGTTGGTGATGGCATAGTTTTGCAAGGCTTATATGTTAACTGGGAACATCAAGTTAGGTCAATCCAAATAGACGCAATGTTACATGCATTTAGAGATAAAAGCGTCACCAACACGCCAATGCTTGTACAATGCACACAATGAATGAAATCAGAAAGTGAAACTGAAACTTTGACAATAATAAACAGACCGTCTGTGATTTTGCAAGTGGCTTGAGAAACTGGATGAATACAACACCGAATATGCCGATTATCGGTGCACACATAACTGTTTCTGTCAAGTTTTCAGAAGTATGTGTGTACTCTGTTCAATTCTCTGCTTGATACCGATACAATATTATCACGTTTTAATTCCGATCAGTCCTGTGGGTAGATATCAATGAACCGTGGATGATTATAGTCATGCTCAGCTGAGTGGAGAATAAAATTACAAATGTTTGGCCCAATGAAGCGATTTACTTCTCAGTGTACACCAGCAACTCAGTGTGTGAAGAAATGTATTGACAGCGTTACTCTAAATGACTGTGAATTGTTAGGCGGATTATGTGATCACTGCTCGTTAATATACAGTACAATGTTGAATGATATCTTATGTCAGACAATATTACATGGTTAGTGACAACATTTGCCTGAGGGAAGGAGTGTGAAATAGTTTGTGGACAAGATTTGTAGGTGTAACAATAAGCGATGAAGACATATTCTGAATTAGTGTTCACGACACTAGTTAGAAGAGGTAAACCAGAGTGTAACAACAATAATAATGCAACTATCATTCTTAAATAAAGTGTTGTTTGCAGCATAGAATGGCAATCGACTCTCTGCCTCAGCTTCATTGACTTTAAAACCGTCCTTGACGGCGTCAAACGATAAGTAAATAGGAAAGCACTTCAACAATCTGGCGTCCCACAAGCCTTTATAAACCTCATCTTACGTCTGAGAGATGAAGATGCCACACACCAAGTGATTGACAATGGTAAGCTCAATGAAACCTTTGAATTGAAGACAGATTCTAGGTGAACACCGCTACATCTCAATAGACTTTTGAATCCCGTGAGAATTTGAATAACATAAAACAATAAGGGAGTCAATTTACCTTTCGTTGTGTCAGATACTGATTGACTAATTGTCCTTAAACCCAGTATCAAAAAACAGTGTTGTTTGAACCTTCGAGTCAACATGGATATTCGGTAAACTGCAGTGATCACTTTTAGAAATAAATGAATATTCAGCATGATTGGTTTAACACAGATTCTAGGGATTATTTATGCGCAGGTATCGATAGGGTTGAGATATTGCTACTTCACTAGTCATTCTAGTGGAAGCTGACAATTCCATGGATATATGGTCACCACAATTCGGTCTGTTTCATTTCATCGTGTTAAGTTTGTATTGTGATTACAAAGGCTACATACCAGTATGATCGAATTCACTCCAGGACATTGACTTATTTCGCATTCATATGGTGATAAGCAGTGATCTTTTCTGCAAGCAAGATGGTGTCAGTGAGATGCTGTCAATTACAAATCACGGAGAGTAATTTTGAAAATTTCTCCGTCTATGACTTCCAACACTCACTGAAGTAAACATTTAACAACATGTGGATAAATTACTTTGACAAGCTTATTGTCGGCGATGAATATCTATATGCAGAGATTATCACATGAAAATTCTACGCACAGGAGATGAAAATAATCAGAATACGACTTCAAACACGTCTAGTTACATTCACACTTATGAAGTGGACTCAGAAAATCACGGTTCACACATGAGATTGTGACGTCGCTTTCCAATCTGTATGAGGTATTGCACGAATACACGATCAGAATTGAAACCTTTCAGGGAAAGAGTGTCTGATGAAAGATTGTCTGCAGCCTCTCATGACACAAATTATCAATAGACCAGTTCAACGTCACTTGCACAGTCAAATTCAGGAATTAGCAGATGGTGTTGTGAGTTATCAGAGACGACCAACGCCAGTCGATACTACTTATTACCGAAATCGAGATGACCTACACATCACGCACCTCTCCACCCTACTCATTTCACAGCAATTCGAACGGTCGAATCTTTTTTCAAGTCATCTGCATTCTGACCAGCGACGTGGGAAACATTCTCTTCACAGGTTTAATATGCAACATGGATATGGAATTTTACTCAATTTCACAAAATCCCTTCGAAATCTTGCATGGGTTGCATTCACTCCATGAGTTGGTTGGCATTCAGTTTATTCAATTTTAACAGTAAAGCGAAACTCACATCAAAAATGGACAGACCAGTTAAACACAACCCAGATATAGTCATTAGAATCCGTATGAATGAGTTGACGAGGTGGGGGATCAACGATTTAGACATATTCGATATTTTTGTTTTAACTATGCGAAACCAGAACCAATTGCCCGCAGTATCTAAAAATGTACAACACAATATGTGAGACAACAATCACTATATGTAAATGAATATATATGCATATGTGCATATATACGTACTTACATAACTGTGTTATCATAGGAATGTTTCAATGCAAACATATATTATCGGCCGATGACGAATCTACCTGACGTAAGTGACTCTTCTCATCAATTTTCTGGTCTCGTTCAAATCCGCAGAACTAACTGAATTCTTCCAGAATGTACATTCCGTCATGTAAATATCACCAACACGAGGGGATTTTGTCAGTCACATGGAAGACCAGTTCATTCTGATAGAATAAGACGCAAAGGATAGTAAGATGAATAGTGAATCCATCGATTTCTCATTTTTCACACTGCTGGAATACCATATTCGCATACGGTTAAGTTCGACTTTCTGAAACCTTGTGTCGGTCCCTGTAACTCAGGTGTTGTGGTAGCCGGCTAATGATCCTGAGGCTCTCATTTTAAATTCTACTGAAAACCAGATTCCGCCAAATGACTCACTCTATATTAAGATCGTTATCTCTTTCAAATGCAATTCACCTTAGTTAAGAGGAACGTCGAGCTGAAACGTGGATGTGATCTGGAAATGCAGATGTTTTCAAATCATTGTCCATCGAACTACATCTAAACTAAACGAAACTGAAATATTCGCAGGTGAAACGTAATACTCTTCACACCTTGTTGTTGACTTTGTTTTATCTGTCAAGTGGTGACTGCATGGTTATGGCGTGCGTGTGAGCTCACTTTCTTTGTTCATCTAAGTGGCTATGCACATTGAGTAAATAGCCTAGTGAGGTGGAAGTAGTTTTATTCACGATCGTAAACCTGACAATGTTTATCTCATAATCTATTTCTGTTGAAGTTATCAAGGCGTGGTGAGAAGTATGCTTTCAATGAGCAGTCCTGCATGTTTTTGGGTGAATATTTTCTTGATTGAATATTAACATTTGTTCAATAAGTCTCATTCAAAAACATGACTTACTGAATATTGAGTAGGATGTCATCATTACGAAGAAGCCATACTTTTCTGGAGGGAAAACTCCAAAAGAGCTAAAATTTAAAGAGAGAGTGTAATATAATTCTGCGATTGCGACTGATATTTGCGATAGGTGTAGCTTTTGTTAGAAACGAATATGTGAAATCAGTGAATGTAGAAGGTTGTCTTTCCTTGTGGATGTTTACAATCGTTTATCGTCACAAATACCCGATTTCAAAAAGTCACACGAAATGAGGTTTTCAGTGAAAATAGCATCATGAAGAACAATATGGCAACCATGATTCGCGATATCAAGACTCCGTCTAGTAAATTAATATCTCAATGGATTTCGACTATTAAATAGGATTTAAATATACAGGAAACAGTCACAGGTATCAATAAATAACAACTATGGACATATTTTTAATATTGATATTTGGGTTTAGTTCTTTCAGAGCTAATTACGTTACATTCTTTGTTAGGAATTGATTCCTGTTAAATTCGGATTTGTTTCTGATACTGCCGTAATGCTAGAAACTGTTGATTTACATAATTATTTGCAGAAAATTGTTTCAAACAATATTGTTTACTGGCAAAACCAAAGTCGTCAGAACACCGGAAGGTCGACTGTTCTGTTGAGTCTCTATATAATCAAAAGTGTGTCGAGATACACTGATCGGATCACTGAGCTCAGTCATTGAAAATCCCTCAAATTCTAGCTGGGTACACACAAAAGTTGATTCTGTATATTGTTCGAAAATTTTGCTGGCCTTCGTGATCACCACTTTTAGTATCAAGCAGATTACATATCCCGACCCAATTCTATCGTGCTTACAAATTAAACTGTACCAAAAATTCACCATGATATGTGTAATTTGCAAATCAACGGATTCCACCTCATGTTGGTGAGTCCATCTGAGATATTTCATGGATACTGATAGAATGGATGATAACTGAATTACTAATCGCACTGATAATAAGCGTTAGTACTCTCAGTGAAGTGATATTGTGGGTAACAACAATGTCTTGCAACCCATTCTTAAAAGTACTCAGTTCGTAATCAGATAGACCCTAGTCTGAATCCCACATATTTCTTCTTCAATCATTCCCTAGGAGAATCGAATCTGTCAATGCATTATCTCATAAAATAATGTGTGATTATATTCTACAACTGTGGCTGGAATACTCACCTGATGAATGGGAAGAAAGCATTGATATGTTCTTCGTATACGGCCACTGAATATCTGTGAAGATACAAAGAATGATATGCCTTTGTTATTACTATCTTTTAAAACCATTAGATAAGATGTATTAGACTTGAATTCCGCCTTCATGCTGTAAAAATGTCAAAATTACATAACTGATAAACTTCCTTGTGTTATATGGCTACAATGAAATCAGTGTTAATGAGGTTTGTCAGTGGTGTAGTTTTATTCTAAGAAGCAGAAATATGCAGCCTTATGGCAGATTTACAAATTGATTATTGAGTCCTCGTATTAATGGTTTTTGATTCCTACTTTATTCCTAAAGCCAGCCTGTTCCTTCAGAACACTTTTTATTGAAACACGAACGTGTTATTTCTGAATGAGCACTAGTTCTAACCGACCCACTCTATGTACGACCTACAACTGCTATCTTTAGATGGTTAGTGACGGGATCTGCAATATTTCAGTGTCGAAACCAGCTTTTCTGGTTAAGATGTGTGCATCCTGAATTCTCAGTGTAGCGAACAAGTTTGCTGAATAGTATTCATATTGTAAAACAATGCACTTTGTTCTATTTCGTGGTTAAATAGAATGATGACTGGAGTAGATAAACCTCCACAGATTCTATGGAGTCTTCATAGATCCTAGATAAACAGCATGATTTACTTCAATTCTGAACACATATTGATGCCATTTAGAGAACTATTGAGAACCATGGAGTACTAGACAGCTGTTTAGTCCTGGTTGGTTTTTTACCATCCTACAATGTCACATCATATATGTGTTACTGATTAAAAACACTTCAGTACTGATTGTTTCCTAACCTACAAGTATACAATTTCTGGAACGTAGGAGTGTAGCACTCTGTGTGATGGTGATGGTATCTGGGAGCAACCTTTGATACATTTACGAAAAACAGGTGAGCAAAAGTACATAAAATGGAAGGGTGTATACTTCCTACTTTAAATAGCTTTTCTTTTTTTTCTTTCCATATTTAGTAATATCATTATTACTGTTTACGCATGGTTTTATAAGTTTTCTCTTAACACAAATTAGTCTGTTCAGTGTCCTTCATACGAAGTGTTAAAATCTATTCTTAACATCTGACATAAAACCTAAGACTAAAGATCACTTACAAGATGGGAAGTCCAGTGATTGCGATAAAAAGTGCAATTAGAGAAAACCGAAATGGATTGATCTTTCTCCGACAAAGTATCATTGATGATCAAGAGCTCGTTACAGAATTAGGTTGGAAATTCTATAAAAGAAAAAAATGTCTGGTAAAGAAATCAGAATGCTAAGGGAAGTAAAACAAACGAAATGCTGCCATATACACATCAATGTGTGACATTCTCACATATTCATTTTCCTCAGCATCAAAACATTTTGAGGAGAGAGAATTGTTTTATTACTTTGCATTTGGGCTCTAACAAGATACAAATATTCTGTCATTGCAATTCAACGAAGCGGAAGTTTTCGAATGTTTCATGAGTATCCGAGAAACCGTGTGTAAATTGGGTATATAAGAACATATGTCAATCGGAAACGAAGCAAGACAGACCCAGGTGAGTTTCTGTGAAAACAAACGTGGTAATCAGATTACACATATTCTCCTGAACATCATTCTAAACAAATTATTCAACAAATAGAATCCCCACAAAAACCAATTCCTGAAAATTATCCAAACATTAAAATCGAAGGATCATTAAACAACATTAAAGGAATGCGCAATGTAGACAAACATTTCTGTTACTCTACATTATGAAGTAATTCTGTTTGAAGTATTTTTCTGGTTAAAAGGAAAATAATAAACAACTGTGTTGACAATATTAATTATTTTGTACAATTTCTGCAGACAATCGAATAGGAGATATTCGAAAAAAACAACACCCTCATCTCCTCTGAAATCATCCAATTCACTTTGTTTACGTTTAACTGAATAAATGCGAATTGATGAAGGATCTAGTTTTGTACTTAGTAAACATTAAGTGGAATCGAATAAACTATACAGGGATACAATTTTCATCGCGTGGTCGAATTTGAATGCAGTCATCGAAAACACGTGAAGCGTATGTCTAACGAAGTACAAAATATGTGAGTCAAATGTCATTCTTTAACAACTTGATCACTCACTAAAGCACACAATTTCCAATATGGTAAAATATAAAAAGGGAGTGAATGATCCTAACAGGCTGATGTGTAAACTAAATCACATCAAAATTTTGATGTTAATGTTGATGAAATTCACATGTCTTCCTTATGATTGTGTTTTTAGCAATGGCTATTATCAGTGCATGGAATCGATGACTTTTCATCGAAATCATTTCTCTCGAAGTAAAACTGTTTAGCGAGAGAGAAATGTTAAACAAGTCCACAACTCTGTATCAGTCACATAAAGTTCTCTCAGTTGAATGTTGTGCGTTTTAACAATGAGTGTTGTTAAAGCACGATAACACTAAACAACCATATTACCAAGGGAAAAGCCAGTTTGAATGGTGTTCGGTTTAACTGGGGAAATACTAACTCTCTTTTGTGAAACATATGTGGAAACAAGAAGGTCCTGTATGTTAGGTATTCATACGATGAAACAACAAGTATACATGTGGATTAGGATACTTATTTCAGAATAGACTGAATAATGTAAACGCTAAGGCATTTAAATATATTCAAACGTGAATTCATGCAACAAATTTCCATCTAACGAGACAATTATGTTTTTGTTTCATTTTATCCCTTTGCGTTCCCAGTGGAACCTAGGTCTTCAAGCTAGATCTTTGAAGTTTCTGAAGCAGTGGATGTGGAGTTTCGCATTATTTATTTGAAATAAACCTGATTTTCGGCATTCATTCCACATTCGAAACTTGTGTAGAACAAATAACATAGTAAGTTAAGTAAAATTGGTTCAGTCCAATCATGAATCAAATAATTATCCCAAAGCCTTAATAAAGAGATATTGAAAATTTGAAGATAAGGATCATTTGAAATCTGTTGCTAATAATTGGAATAGTACATTGGTGACTCCTTACCGCAAAGAAACATCGGATGAGATAAAGTGAATCCTTTACAATCATGACATAAGAGTGCTTTTTGTGACCTAACACCTAACGCTCATCACTGGTGAAGGTTAAGGATAAAATAGAAGAAGAAAACCAACAGAATTGTGTGTATGAGATCAATTGAGAGGACTGTGACGCCGTATATAGAGCATAAACTCCCAGACAAGTAAATATAAGAGTGAAGGAGCATAAACAATGTCGAAAGTTGGTTCCAAAGACCTCTGTAGACTTAAAGAAGCTAGAAAACAGACCATCAGTTGCACTGCATTCGATAGAAACAGGACACAAAATCGACTTTGATAGGACTAAGCTTCTACAGAAAGCTTTGGATTTGTATAAAGAAAGACTGATTGTGGAAGTCGTACAAAGATGGGTGAATCACAACAGTTTGAACAGACGTGAAGGTGTGATGTTAGCTGATGCATGGTAAATCCTGACTAGTAAATAAAAATAGATATGTATCACTAATCAGTCATAATTGGTCTAAATTCCCGATTGATTATATCTTCTTTTGGAGTGGCTAACAAATGTTTTACAATTGTTTACCCATACACACATGCACACATCAATATGTCCTGCATATACACATATATTGTCATACTGAGTTATCTACGACCATTAACTTTTAGTTGAACGTAATCTGATGAAAAGTACAGCTTGTTTAAAGTGTTTAACAAAAATAGGCTGATATCTGTAAGAAGTCTGAGGTCAAATTTTGATCACAGCTTATGCAATTCATATGAACTGTGGTTTGACCAAATAATTACAAAATAATCGGGTGCTCCGACAATTTTGTTTATTATACATTTTTGTTTATTACAGTTTGATGCCACACCGTCTTTTCAGTACAAGTATGGAATTTTCAGCATGGAAATCGGTAGCCCAAATTTTGCAGGCCGACCATAGATATCGAGTGTGCGTCGGCAAGGGATCGAATCCCGCACCATGTGCATGGTCGGCGAGAGTCCTAACCACTGTGCCACCGATACTTGTTTCATGACTTGTATGATTGGACAAAGTTTTTAAAACCAAGAGATGTCCCTTTTATACATAAACCTGTGTTATGTTAATTTTGATTAATTTCTCTGTTCGGACCAGTTTGCTGAACGAAACGTTGATATTGCTCATTTCGATTTCGCTGATATTTTACAAATATAATTGTTACGAATGTCTAATTTGAGAGTGTTAGTTGTTCCCGATACTGCCCACAATTCCAAACGACAGGGTTAATTAATTCATCAAAGAGTGCAAAACATTGCACAAACAGACTTTCGGTATTCAAATAGTTACCCTACAATTGCCTCGTATAAATTCTGACGAGAAGTACCGATTGCTTTCAGTGGAATTCTTGTAGTTAAAGCATTACTACAAGTCTTCATCAGTGAAAACATTAATCCTATTCTACTTGGAATTACGCCTATTGACAAGTCACCGGACATTGAAATTACGGAAAATGTCTAAAGCCCATGATTATATTCGTAATTTTTAATACTTCAGAATTATAAATTCCAAATTTTTCTCTATTTGTTTCTTTCAAGGGTATTCAAATTGCAACACTGACATCTAAGAACCTCTAATTACCTACACCTCCGATAAACAAATGACAGTGGGCACAAAATGACTTAAAAAACTCATCGGATGACATGAGATTCCAGTGTGTTTTCATTCTGCAACCAAATTAGTTGAAGGAACAATATTCTATCATATCGTTGTAAGTTAAGACAAAATTCAACAAGCTTCTTACAAGAAAAAAAACATGACAAATAAAATCTCTTGTTTGTCCATTAGTATGTTTATACATAAACACGAAATCATCTTTGAGTTAAGGCTTGTCAAATCTGCCTGGTAAACAAAAGATTTGCAAACTTTTATGCAAGCGCAAATTTATGTGATCAATAAAATGTTTTCATTATAATGGTATTAAAAGCCGTGGTAGATAAAAGTTGTTGATTCAGTTCAATAGTAGAAACTGATTTGCATGGGCTGATGTTTATCTTAAAAACTAAATTTCAGTCTTAGTAGTTTTTAAAAAAAATAACAAACGAAATACATAGAACTGATAATAGAGAGTAAAAATTATTAACGTTGGACTTTTAATAAAGTTTAATGTTTATATTGTGGTTGTATGTACTTCTATATACTGCGTATAATCAAACAATTATTAGGGAATATAGTTTTTTAACATCAGCATTTCACTTCAGATACTTATACCTTTCAGTCGCAAATATGTACTAACTTATCAGCGCATTTAAGGCTGGATTGCAGTACACACTCGAGTGGAATTCTTATTTCAGTGCGTTGTTTTGGTGTTTGTATGTAAATATTTGAGATAATTGAATCGAGTTGGATGATGAGCTATCTGTAGACTTATTCACTGAGCCAGGTGATCTAATTGCGAATCTTTTTAGATGACATCATCACAACCACAACACTGGTGACACTACACTGGGAGATTTATTTGCTTCCCCAGGATCATCAAAACTAAACGAAAATATCTAATGAGAAATACCTCAGTAAACCACTCACCTAATCAAACAGAAGTGGCACAATGCTTAACTAAATACTCAGGAATAGACCACATATAAAAGGTGATGAATAAAATAATTCGAATCTTTAACTTACAAATTCGTTCTCAATTTACACAGTTCTCTGTGAGTATGTCACCACAGTCTCATTCAAAGTCGAAGATTATTCAGATTACAACAGGTGGTTTGCTTGATAACGTACTTAGTAATCAAGAAGGCAAGTGTAACTGCATTTAGGTGTATACAACTGACTGAATCAGATGAGTAGTTATACACCAGTCATATGAACCAGTAATGCTTGCTAGCTAGAACGAAGTGTTCTAAACACTGGCTGTCTGAGCTGAGTCAAAACTGGGCAAGTGAACAACCGTCTTCCGAAAGATCAGGAAGATGCATCCTACAACTTATGAAGAATATTTCTTAAACAACGCCTAGAATACTAAAACCATTCGAATGGCTGTTGCGCTCAAACCAACTCAACCATTTCATTCACTGCTATGCAGGTCAGCAGATCAAACTAAGTTAGAAGACAAGGTCAACGCTACCTACGAAATAAATTGCCTGAACTATGATAAACACTATATTGGGGAAGTCTTGTGTCCACTCTGACTCCGAGTCCACAAACATAAACCAGGCGTCACAAGATGCGACATGCATTCTTTCATATTGATGCTTGTAGACAATAATGGACACCGATTAGACTGGAAATGTGTAGAAATTATAAACAATGGTAACACCAAAACTTCCACTGATTTCCAGGAAGCCCAGTGCTTAGGCAAATATGCTATCACCACACATGTTAAAGCCGATCAAGTATTACAACTAATAAAGAGTGAGGCGCGTGACGAAACAGTGAAATCTCAAGTCGACAAAACGACCGGTACTAATGAAAATTTACAAACAATCAAAAGCAGACTCTTCAAGGGGGATGGTCAGATCATCCATACACTATTCAAATGGGTTCACCTCATATTCAAGTTACAGCTGGAGATGCTGTCCATAGAGAAAATTAAAGCAGTACAACTAAACTACTCAGCTTACAGAACACAGTCATGTCAAAATTTTCCACTAAAGCAACAAATCTCCATTGTTTTAAATTCACAACTGTCTTTAGGAAGAAATTGAAAATTGTTATGCATGCATTGATTTTAACTAGAAATTCATAAGCAGTGGTCAAAAAATTGGCTGCTTAGCAAGCATACTGAGATTATTCATGGAACACGACACAGACATATTACATCTGACTTAAATAAGACGATTCCCACTTAAATCAAAGCAGGACTAGAATTATACAACATGTTCCTAGGCTATTCAGATACATTAGAATAAATGTGTCCACTTCTTAGTTCACGCACAACCCTTTGACTTTCGAATGAATCAGCAATGTGCTGTTTGACCTCAGCACTCAAATTCTGGTCTCCATATGGAGATGCGAAAGTTATGTATACTAATCGCACATGTAGACTAGATAAAATAAGTCGTGGCCTTCTTTCCTTCTGTTGTGTAAGTGCACTAACCTTTCGCTAGATAATGAATATTCAGCTCTTACAGTTTCAAAGTTGAGTATACACCAGTATAATTAACTGATGCATATGTAAAACATTTAGACCTCATAACTCACTTCAACTAAAGTATAATTAAACATTTGTGACACGCGAACGCAATCATTGAAGCCGAAAGAGCTGAAGTTTTTAAGTGAATCATATTTTAAGGTATACCTCTTCCCAAATTGTTATAATTTGGAGAAACCTCAAAAGGCAGGGACTGTGGAACGGTTACTTTCTACTATTTTTGGACTCCTCAGTAGTAGACGCCATCGGTCCATCCAGGAATCGGATCCAGTGCTTTCAGTTTACGAAGCGTATATCAAGCTAGGGTGGGATAGCTGTCTAGGGCTCCCTGTTGGTCAGTGGTTATCTCACAGTTAGAAACTATACATTGACCGATAGCACATTGTAAGGTTGTACAAATACGGTTTAATCAAAAAAGAATTTGTGGAGACTACTTCAAATTCATCTCGTTCAAATTATCAAATGTGAAACTTTGGTTCTAGGAAACAGGTGTAAGCCACTCATCATAAACTTAGTTTCATGAAAAGTTAATCTGAGTCATTTCAGTAATCTGTGAAATAGAAACTGCCATACACAGGAAAGTGGTATGAATGTTCCAGCCATGAAACTCCATAAATATTAGTTTGTCACATACTGGATTAACTGCAGTAATTATGCATTTTGGCTAAATTAATGGATGGAATATGGACATTAATTTTTAAGCTGTCAAATCTGGATGAAATGGCGATTCAAGAGCTGTTCGATTCGTCAGTAATCTAAATTATGTGATCAGTAGTATCTAACATTGCAGCCGTTTCATCACACTACATGCAAACAGATTCTGAACTTATATCCTCTGCAAGCATTGCATCAACGATCAATAGGTTGAAATAAATGGCATATAGGTGGGACCATTGAATCTGTATTTATTGCTATCTCAGGCGATATTTCCTCTTAGTTAACTCTAAATGCTCAACCCACAAATATTCGAAATTCCCTCTAAGAACAGAAAGATTGATAATGTATGTACTTAAAGTATGAAGAAGTTACATATACGGAAATGTGGACATTGTGGCCGTATGTAATTCCGAATAATACATAACGGTGGATATGATTATTGACAATTAATTGAGCTGGAAGCATCATTCCTCCAACAATATTGTTCCATTCTGTAATACGCAACCAATAAACAAGCTAGTATGGAATAAAGCAGTTGTACTAGGAAATTCGAACACTTGGAAAGTGAGCATTGAAAATGCGATTATTACGAAATACCAGAAAATTTAAACGATTGATAAAATATTCCATCATGATTTTCCCACTTTGAATAGGTTAACCAAAGCCTTTCGGCGTTGCCTTAACCTGATAAAACTTCTTATTTTGTAGTATTTTCGAAAAGCTTCCACCTTTTTTGTTCTTTAGCAAATTAACTGACCGAAAGCTATATCACTCTGTCTTTAGTGTTTCCCATGAATTTAGCTTTTAAAGAAGCAACATAGAATCTACAATTTTACAAAATATCCGTAAGTCAACTACATTATCAGAATGTTATGTCAACTGTGTTTATCAGAAGTACCACCTGGTTATATGATTTAGTTTGCGATCTTTTGTGTTGGGTTATTTCACTGAAAACTTATGGGCTGAAAATAATCAACTGCATCCAGGAACAATAGTAATTCTTGAGACAGCAACCCAAGATGGTTTAATTCTTTCTGTATTTCACACCATAATTGTAAAAATGAAATTGCACTTAAGACAATAACAGAAAAGAACGTACTTGTGCCACCTTTAATTTCTAGAAATCGGAAAACACGAAATAATAATGTGAGAAGTTTATTTCATGAAATCACTCACATATTCATATTTTCGACTTATGTTGGTTTGACAAAGCTTTCCTTCGTTCATATCATTTATATGTGGTGAAATGCTAAAGTGCCATACTTCCCGATACATACAGACATCATATTTACAAATCAACAGTACAATCTATAATCTGAAGGTCAGCTGAGTAACTTCCAAAATCTTGTGCAGCCACTGTATTAAGAGATCAAAGCTTTAGACTGTGAACTACATAAGCACAACGATAGATATTTAGTCATACCCAAATAGTCAAAACAGAGCAATAATACCGAGTTGATGACAGTAAGCTAAGCATATAAAATTTTAATTCCGATTATACTAGAATTGAACAGGAACGATTGAAACATGAACGAGGTAAATACTGAAGAACCACGTTTCAGCTATCAATGTGATGAATCACTTAAAGCTCAGTGGAATATGTAAGTTGAATGGGTTTGTCCTGCTTTCCACAACAGCTAATTCCATGAAGACGTTTCGACAAGGATTGACTTTTTGGAGAAAACAGGTTACTTCAAAAGTTTTGTTTCATGCTAAAGTCGTTTTTCGCCTTTCAGACTTCAGAAAGTTATCATACCGTGTGTCAGTGAGAAATGATGACTAGCTTTTAAATGAGACCATACAGAAAATATGCTTTTCAAACCAAACTGAAAATTTAAACCTGAGGTCTAAGTGAAATTTCATTGATGAATTTATCCATGTCTTTAGAGAAAAATCAACAACAAGAGAAAGCTATTAACAATTAAACTAACCTGAACGAAATTATTAAATCTGCTCAATTCTTATCATAAAATAATAATCCTTTTAACTTTATTACTTTACTGAATTGCTTGTTGAAAACGTGTGCGATATTTTATAGTACAAAACACATTACAATACTTTCCCTAGTTTGTAAAAACAACAAAACACTTACTAAACGAAGTTAAACCAATCAATTAAGGCACTATCTAAAAGCATCACTATCATATCGATCTGTCGTCTCCACCTACATGTGAATTATTGATGTTTGATGAGATGACAGACAGAGTTGCTAAACAGCAACTGGTAATAATCAATATTACAATTAGTATTATCACAGCTTATCATTGAGTACCTTATATAAACGATAATGAAGACAGCTATCCTTGCTGAATACGCCCGCCTTATGTAATATACTCAGACAACTCAGTATACTACAGAAATTTACATTACTACCAACTGAAGTAGATTAACATTGCAGAAGAAATTATCACCAACACTGTTGCAATAACATCCAAATATGATGAGTCGGAAACAAATTTATGTCAGACAGTCCCAAGAGAGGACACTAAAAACTAACCAGGGTATCTATGCTACTTTTCATGAAACCTGTTGTCAAGATGTGCTATTTATCAGTCCAAAAGAAAATTTATTTATTTATTTATTTGTGAAAACTGATTAAGAAAGTTGTGACGTGCATCGTATGAATAATCACTTTGATTAAATAGCTGAAGACACAAATGATGAGGATCTGAGTGACAGTTAACTTGACATTCATACACGTCTGATGAAGGCAGTTGGAATTCATCAAATCGACTCTAAAGAGTGCTCAATTGCAAAATTATCAGATAACTAAGTGAAATAAGATTTGAAGTTCTTTTTAGACTGATGACAGAGCATCCTTCGAAACCCGATACAACGTTCTGTTGGAGCACTCAAAAGGAGTGGAATGGAGTTAGCTTAAACTGGAAATTATGGATATTGCTTGAAGAGATCACTTTGTGACTTTGTCGTCAAGATGACAATCATTACAACTTGACTATTCCTACTAAAACCAAAAAGAAAAATAACTTTTTAATCCAGTTTTCTGTTAGAATTTTATTATGATGTTGGTGCGCAGGGATTTCATTGATTTCAAGATTGATCAAAAACTGACTTCATTTGACGGAAGTTAGAACTGATGAACGTTCGTTTCTATTAAAATAGCTGAAAGGTCAGCAGTTCCGTTGTAACCTGTAGACCCTGAGTTAAACCTCTAATAGAGTGGTAGTTATGTGTTGAGGAAAGGTTCCAAACCAGAACCAAACAGCTGTTCATTATTGAATATTTTTTAATGGTTCTCAGAGTGAAGTGAGTTCATATTCAACCATCGAATTGTTCTATTGTTCACTGTGCTCTAATATTCCATCATGTATATTTCACCACGAAAACATGCACATTTATTTAGCTCAAAAATATGTTCCACCAACATAATTCAATAATAGACAGATCTATTTATTACTTATTATTCTCTTGGATTCCGAGTGGAGCATATGCCTTTAACATCACACATCTCAATTTTATCCTGTTCTTTAAGGTCCTCTTTAGCTGGTCGCAAGACTGTCCATAGTTTCTTATCTTCTCCTCGCAAGACTTTCATCATGTCACCCTCGAACACAAGCTCAACTCGTTGTTCTGCATTCGAGTTCCACTCGAGGGCCCTGCAAGCGATGTCACTCAATGGTCTCCCGAGTGTGCGTTCAATCCATCTCCATTTTCTTTTGCATATACATTGAACAATAGGTTCCTGGATGGTTTGTTCCCATAGTTTCTTCTTGCTTATGCTTTCTGGGCAGCTATTTGATCTTCAACATGGAAATGCTTTTCTTTACTCACTCGATATGTTTCTGATCCATATGGGAGAACCGACTTCACGTTTGCGTTGAAAATCCGAATCTTGTTGATAAACTGGGTGGGTTCCGAAGTTATCTAAACTGGTTTTAATTTGATGAAGGTCTATCTTGCCTTTCCAATCCTGGCTGGCTTTGACATTTTTATGTGTTCCACCTGTAGCTGAAACCATTCTTCCTAGATAAGTGAAGCAAGTGACCTCTGTCGATGGTGATTGGTGCTGGTTGTTGTTGCTGTTGCTGTTGGTTGGTTGGTAAACTTTACCATGTACGTCTTCGTGGTGTTCAGCTGCAGTCCTGTCTTCGCTGCCTGCCCCTTCTCCCAGTTTGTTGCTTTTCGCCTGTAAGTCTTCGACTTTGCATGACAGTATACATAAACCGTCCACGCGCGAAATCCAGATCTTCTAGAGAGTTTTCATCTGTGGTCCAGCGTATTGTTGTCTTATCGCTCCCCACGCAAAGTCTGACACCAGCTTTCAAATAAGGTTGATAACGATTTGATCATTGCACTCCATAATGTTCAAGTAGTTCCCAAATAGCCTCGCAATCAATGCTGTTGAAGTCATTTTCAAAGTCGATGGAGTTGAGGGAGAGAGCTGACTGCCATTCTATTGCCTGTTCGATGATGATGCATAGAGTTTCAAACTGATCAGTAAGTGATTTGCTGTTTGTGAATCCAGCTTCCTTTAGTTGGTAGAGTCATGCATCTAGTGCATCTCTTATTCTCTCCAGGATGACGTGACTCAGTAATTGAGTCTTTATGAACAAGAGAATGATTTTGTGGCAGTTCTTGCAGAGGTGTAAGTCTCTCTACCTTGGTAGTTTGAAAAGGTAGACTTTCTTCCAGTCATTAGGCAACCTACATTCCTGACAAACCATTAGCAGTAATGGCAATAGCATATAGTCTGCGGTCTGTAGATCCATTTTCAGTGTTTCAGGATGAATTCTGTCGGTCGTGCTAACTTCCCGTAATCAGCAGCTTGATTGCACTTAAGATTTCTTTATGTGATTGTGTGATGCTGGTGATATTTCTCGATCAGCTGCAGATGACTGTCAATTCCTATATCCTTTGAATCGGTAAACCCATTGTTCTCTTCGTCTCTCCTCTTTAATAATGAGTACCCATGACCATCATTTTTGGTTTATTTATGCTGATGTCTTCCCAGATGAAGACCTGGTCATGCGATATAACGTTCTGGGGCCTGTTTCACTTGGAGACTGCTATGCGTCAATTCCCAGTGTTCAAGACATCGAATCACACATGAAATGAAGAAAGAGATTTTGTTCAACTCGGTCAACAGATGAAAGCATCACGCGAAGTGTGTTGTCGTGATTCCGAGAAGCAAATTTTACTCAAGACACCACAAAATGAACTACTACCGTTCTGCAGAGGCAGAACAGTTGATAAGAACAATCGACATTTGTCAGAGCATTTCAACTAAATATGTATTTGTTTCGCATACACCCGACTCGCGTATCATCATTCGAAAATTCAGTGTGTATTCATCAGGCCTACTCAAAGAGGAGTTCGTCAAGTGTCTCTGCTTTTGACTAGCTACTATTTTCAATGCTTCATTTTGATACTCTGTGCCCCTGCGCTGTTAACGATAAGATGTTTATTTACTATCTCGAATTTCGTTCGGCGAATTCGAGATTGTGTCGTCGAGTGGCTACTGTCCCTTGAACTGTGTGTTCGAAGTGTATTCTGTTCTGTTCGGTCCTTCGAAACACACCTGTGTTCCTATTTTGTCAGGAGTGTTCTTCTCAACTCTCAGGTGCTCCACAGTTAAGTTTGGTTAACTGAATCTGCCGTGTAATATGTGTTTCGCACCTCATAAACCTTATGCGATTGTATCATATTTTTGTGAATTTCATCATGTTAAATCGTGATTAGTTACTATTGGAATATAACTTCTCAGCTTGTGTGACTCATGAAAGTTTGTGACACTGTGCAGAGGAACTGAGTGAATCTTGTGAAAGTACTGACTTGGTTACGTTGATCGGTTGCTGGCAATAAAATCAAGTTACTAATGTTCTGGTCGTTAATTGCACCTCGCACTCTGAAAGTCAAATAAACAAATCGTTCACAGCACTACCAATGTCTCACCATTCGAATGCATCTTCTCTTCCTCAGAGACTTTGCATAGTGTTCTTTCTATCACAGTGAATGCAGCCAGTTTTAATCACTGACTTAATCACTGATTCCGGCCGAAAGAATGACTCTTTCGCAAAATTATGTTTCTTTGACTGACAGACAGATAATTAACAAAACGTGTGCTGAACACAATTACAAATTTCTTTTCAATTTAGCACAGTTTATACATTTCTCAAGAGTTGAACCGTAGAGGTGTCTCTGGAAACTGTTCTCATCACAGACCTTCCGTATTTATTGGTTTCCAGTGCGATGACTAGCGTGTATATTATGCATGTGGCGACCATAACCCACTCAGCCATAGCACAGTAAACGAATTCCCAGTATCCCTGTTCAAATAGAAAGAATTGAGAGGTTAGTCTTTCATTCATGGCAGTTCAATTCAAAATGAAGCAAGTAATACGGAGGATGACTGAATCCCTTCTTGAAATAATCCCATTCAATTCGCTACCTGTACACTGGGTTTCTTCGCCTCAATATCCAGCTAGATAAACGATCATGATATCATTCAATTTTGATGACGACTTATCCGCCTAATCAAGTTCTCATGAAATCCAGGAAATATTGTTCAAACAATGTGGCCCGATTACCCAATTTACTCTTAAGGAATCAATTCACACAGCTGACACGTAACAGCTGACTCTGACTCGAAAATGCAAACAGGGATTCAAAAGATAGCGACATGGAGCGCATTTCAATTGTGTTCACATAGAATCAGGTAAACTGACATTGAGTAATGGCGAATAGGCAAATTAGCTAGTTGGTGAGATGGTGGTCAACCACTGTCGGAGGTCAACTTTGGTGAGTGTTTTAAATAAATTATCAGTCATTATAATCGCCATCACTTCTTAACTCTTCATGTATTATACGTGCTCTTCTGTTTACGGAAGGGATTGCACTGACATTCTGATCTTCGTATTCACTGTGTACTTACAATTTTTTATGTTGTAACTATTCAAGCTGCATTTTGAGCATATGTCACATGCATCTAAAATGTTCCTTTCTCAATGAATGATCAAGGATGATTTCTAAAGATAAAAATGTATATATACTTACACCATCTGTTGGTAGCATTCGATAAATGTTCAGTGTATCCAGTAAATGAAGACCAGCATGGTTAAAATATGCGACTGGAAATAGTGAGAAAGCAACAGATTATATGGTTGGATAAAATATCTGATGTAGTCTGGATCAAAAAGCGTTTTTTGTAAAGAGTTATTCAAAATTATGGAGACACAGGCAAACTGCTGCCCAATTATATACAAATAATTTTCTACGAATCATGGTTGAGACAAAACTGCATTGCGGTGAAATTCAACCGCTTACAATTAAAATTGAAATTAATACAACTGAAGCTGCAAAACCTGTGAATACATTCACGGCTGTCCATGAAACTAATAAATTAAAACTACTTCAAGGAGTGGACCAAGCATCAGAACATTCTGAGCACAACAAATTCTCAGTCAATGTTCACAAGAGTTTTGAAGTGCCTGCTGTGAACATATTCATCTTCCGAATGATCAGCTGCGAGATGAAACTGCCACATAGACATCCTGAAATTCTCTCTACTTAGTCATATTGAACTATTCGACAGTCAGTCTGTGCCTGTCATCGACAAACTGACAGAGGGAGAAATCACAATTCCTCAACTCATGGGTTCATTCTAGCAATAGAATAACCAACTTTCACTCACATCCGTCATTTCCGCTTGATATATTTACTTAATGCATCCTAGTATAGGAATCCAAAACTGTGTGCGTGCATTACTGGACCCAACCACACTTCCCTGCATTACCCACCAAATGTCAAGCGAGTGTATTTTTACTCACACAACTTTGATATTTACTTGCCAGTAGTTTCCACAAATATCAACACATTTGCATACTTCAGAATTTGCGAATTCACAGAATGGTAAAATTGCGTCCTAATGAATCATCATGTAATAGTAGTTATCTGAAATGCACATCTATGTAATTTCTACCACTCATGCACTGTTGTGCACTGTCGTATTACTTGGGATAAACTCTTAAACACTACTCATCAATCATGAGCTGCAAACTATAATCAATTTGATGAAATGAGCATGGAAACTTACACGCTATAGCACTGAGTAGCATTTTGATGGTCAGTATGAATCGAACACACCAGAACCAACGGGAATCTTCGAAATACTTGAACAACAAACAACCACCCAACATAGCTGATAGGCCATGACAGAAGAAGTTGCAAACAGTCATCAGGTAGTGGTGCCAATTATATTTTTCCATCTGTAGATGAAATACAAAGGTGTAATTAAGAGAAATTAGGTGTACTTGAGTTAAGTTCAATAAGAGGAGAAATTATATGAATCATTTGTATTCATGCACTTGATCCAAAATAGACGGTGGCGACTGAAGAGTTGTTGAAAATAATGTTGGTGATGGCATAGTTTTGCAAGGCTTATATGTTAACTGGGAACATCAAGTTAGGTCAATCCAAATAGACGCAATGTTACATGCATTTAGAGATAAAAGCGTCACCAACACGCCAATGCTTGTACAATGCACACAATGAATGAAATCAGAAAGTGAAACTGAAACTTTGACAATAATAAACAGACCGTCTGTGATTTTGCAAGTGGCTTGAGAAACTGGATGAATACAACACCGAATATGCCGATTATCGGTGCACACATAACTGTTTCTGTCAAGTTTTCAGAAGTATGTGTGTACTCTGTTCAATTCTCTGCTTGATACCGATACAATATTATCACGTTTTAATTCCGATCAGTCCTGTGGGTAGATATCAATGAACCGTGGATGATTATAGTCATGCTCAGCTGAGTGGAGAATAAAATTACAAATGTTTGGCCCAATGAAGCGATTTACTTCTCAGTGTACACCAGCAACTCAGTGTGTGAAGAAATGTATTGACAGCGTTACTCTAAATGACTGTGAATTGTTAGGCGGATTATGGGATCACTGCTCGTTAATATACAGTACAATGTTGAATGATATCTTATGTCAGACAATATTACATGGTTAGTGACAACATTTGCCTGAGGGAAGGAGTGTGAAATAGTTTGTGGACAAGATTTGTAGGTGTAACAATAAGCGATGAAGACATATTCTGAATTAGTGTTCACGACACTAGTTAGAAGAGGTAAACCAGAGTGTAACAACAATAATAATGCAACTATCATTCTTAAATAAAGTGTTGTTTGCAGCATAGAATGGCAATCGACTCTCTGCCTCAGCTTCATTGACTTTAAAACCGTCCTTGACGGCGTCAAACGATAAGTAAATAGGAAAGCACTTCAACAATCTGGCGTCCCACAAGCCTTTATAAACCTCATCTTACGTCTGAGAGATGAAGATGCCACACACCAAGTGATTGACAATGGTAAGCTCAATGAAACCTTTGAATTGAAGACAGATTCTAGGTGAACACCGCTACATCTCAATAGACTTTTGAATCCCGTGAGAATTTGAATAACATAAAACAATAAGGGAGTCAATTTACCTTTCGTTGTGTCAGATACTGATTGACTAATTGTCCTTAAACCCAGTATCAAAAAACAGTGTTGTTTGAACCTTCGAGTCAACATGGATATTCGGTAAACTGCAGTGATCACTTTTAGAAATAAATGAATATTCAGCATGATTGGTTTAACACAGATTCTAGGGATTATTTATGCGCAGGTATCGATAGGGTTGAGATATTGCTACTTCACTAGTCATTCTAGTGGAAGCTGACAATTCCATGGATATATGGTCACCACAATTCGGTCTCTTTCATTTCATCGTGTTAAGTTTGTATTGTGATTACAAAGGCTACATACCAGTATGATCGAATTCACTCCAGGACATTGACTTATTTCGCATTCATATGGTGATAAGCAGTGATCTTTTCTCCAAGCAAGATGGTGTCAGTGAGATGCTGTCAATTACAAATCACGGAGAGTAATTTTGAAAATTTCTCCGTCTATGACTTCCAACACTCACTGAAGTAAACATTTAACAACATGTGGATAAATTACTTTGACAAGCTTATTGTCGGCGATGAATATCTATATGCAGAGATTATCACATGAAAATTCTACGCACAGGAGATGAAAATAATCAGAATACGACTTCAAACACGTCTAGTTACATTCACACTTATGAAGTGGATTCAGAAAATCACGGTTTACATATGAGATTGTGACGTCGCTTTCCAATCTGTATGAGGTATTGCACGAATACACGATCAGAATTGAAACCTTTCAGGGAAAGAGTGTCTGATGAAAGATTGTCTGCAGCCTCTCATGACACAAATTATCAATAGACCAGTTCAACGTCACTTGCACAGTCAAATTCAGGAATTAGCAGATGGTGTTGTGAGTTATCAGAGACGACCAACGCCAGTCGATACTACTTATTACCGAAATCGAGATGACCTACACATCACACACCTCTCCACCCTACTCATTTCACAGCAATTCGAACGGTCGAATCTTTTTTCAAGTCATCTGCATTCTGACCAGCGACGTGGGAAACATTCTCTTCACAGGTTTAATATGCAACATGGATATGGAATTTTACTCAATTTCACAAAATCCCTTCGAAATCTTGCATGGGTTGCATTCACTCCATGAGTTGGTTGGCATTCAGTTTATTCAATTTTAACAGTAAAGCGAAACTCACATCAAAAATGGACAGACCAGTTAAACACAACCCAGATATAGTCATTAGAATCCGTATGAATGAGTTGACGAGGTGGGGGATCAACGATTTAGACATATTCGATATTTTTGTTTTAACTATGCGAAACCAGAACCAATTGCCCGCAGTATCTAAAAATGTACAACACAATATGTGAGACAACAATCACTATTTGTAAATGAATATATATGCATATGTGCATATATACGTACTTACATAACTGTGTTATCATAGGAATGTTTCAATGCAAACATATATTATCGGCCGATGACGAATCTACCTGACGTAAGTGACTCTTCTCATCAATTTTCTGGTCTCGTTCAAATCCGCAGAACTAACTGAATTCTTCCAGAATGTACATTCCGTCATGTAAATATCACCAACACGAGGGGATTTTGTCAGTCACATGGAAGACCAGTTCATTCTGATAGAATAAGACGCAAAGGATAGTAAGATGAATAGTGAATCCATCGATTTCTCATTTTTCACACTGCTGGAATACCATATTCGCATACGGTTAAGTTCGACTTTCTGAAACCTTGTGTCGGTCCCTGTAACTCAGGTGTTGTGGTAGCCGGCTAATGATCCTGAGGCTCTCATTTTGAATTCTACTGAAAACCAGATTCCGCCAAATGACTCACTCTATATTAAGATCGTTATCTCTTTCAAATGCAATTCACCTTAGTTAAGAGGAACGTCGAGCTGAAACGTGGATGTGATCTGGAAATGCAGATGTTTTCAAATCATTGTCCATCGAACTACATCTAAACTAAACGAAACTGAAATATTCGCAGGTGAAACGTAATACTCTTCACACCTTGTTGTTGACTTTGTTTTATCTGTCAAGTGGTGACTGCATGGTTATGGTGTGCGTGTGAGCTCACTTTCTTTGTTCATCTAAGTGGCTATGCACATTGAGTAAATAGCCTAGTGAGGTGGAAGTAGTTTTATTCACGATCGTAAACCTGACAATGTTTATCTCATAATCTATTTCTGTTGAAGTTATCAAGGCGTGGTGAGAAGTATGCTTTCAATGAGCAGTCCTGCATGTTTTTGGGTGAATATTTTCTTGATTGAATATTAACATTTGTTCAATAAGTCTCATTCAAAAACATGACTTACTGAATATTGAGTAGGATGTCATCATTACGAAGAAGCCATACTTTTCTGGAGGGAAAACTCCAAAAGAGCTAAAATTTAAAGAGAGAGTGTAATATAATTCTGCGATTGCGACTGATATTTGCGATAAATGTAGCTTTTGTTAGAAACGAATATGTGAAATCAGTGAATGTAGAAGGTTGTCTTTCCTTGTGGATGTTTGCTATCATTTATCTTCAGAACGGGCACGCATTCTGAAATATCCTGGATGATTTTGAATTCTGCAATCATTATTCATTTAATAAATGTTTTTTGCAGCTCCCAATCCCTGAAAGACTAATGGATATTGTTTTGTCTGATGTTTCGCTACTGTATGCTAATAGCTTTATCAAAGAATTATTAAACTAGAATGTACGAAATCTCAGCTTATATATTACATCGTTCCTAAGCATGGTGACATTTTTGCCTTGTCAAGTTGACCAATTGGTAACGATAAGAAAGCCAGATTCAGACTTTTCGATTTGATAAGTGTGTGGAATTATAAAAGCAGTGTGTGTTTACATGATGAAATTGCTCATCACGTTCATGTTGATTATATCATTTGATGGGGGAAAGAGACGGGTGTTGTAACCAGGTCAAATTCTGTTTTAGTCAGCCAATCTTATTCAGAAAATGTGGATTCCTTTTGTTATATGTAAGTTGAGATTTTGTAAATTCTGGTTTAAAAATACTTTGATAAAGCTTCTAGCATTAAATAGCGCAATTTTAGTAAAAACAATTTCATTTTGTCTTTCATTCATTGGGAAATACAAAAGCCTTTATTATAATGAATATCAAATACCCAATGCTCAAATTTTTTCAAATAATTCATTTAATTTTATTACTTTACTAAACTGCTTATTTTATACGTGTGTAATATTTCATGGCTGAAATCGCTTAACAGTACTTCAGTCAGGTCGTCACTGGTATATATGAACGTGTGAAATTTTTCCGTTGATATAATAAAGTAAGTTAATTCACAAAACGCTGCTTGACATGCACTTCTTCCGCGATAATAATTTTGACTTTATATTGCTAAACACTGATTTTGTACATGCTTTGAAATTCAAATCAGTATCGTTTTATTAACTGAATCATTCTCTTCATACTCTTCGCCAAATATTATCATCGATATATGTGATCGTGGAGCTATATCTGCAAATAAAGTCACAGATCTCTCAAACAAATAAGCCAATCTATTAGATAATCTGTGAAAGCCTTCGATCGACTGAAAAACAGTTTCGAAAAATATGCCACATGAATGTCAGTTCTATAATTTTATACGAATCATTTATTGTCAGTCGTACTTCGAATTTTCAGTAAATAAAGAAAGTAGGGAGATAAGCTAACTGAAGTAGCTGTCATCAGTGCAGAGAAATGACGATGAAACTCAAACGATATGAGAGTCTTCTATTTAAAACATTGTTGTGCTAAATACGCAATCAATGAATTTGTTGTTTATTACTATTCCAAGTAGGCGTCGCATTTAGGCAATATCGATTTGGTTTGCATGATATTAGTCGATATATGCGTGTAAACAGGCACACATATGTGCACATAAACATGTATACTTATTTGGATGCACACGTATATATACTTAAATATTCATTCATATACTATTATATTATTATTATACTGATACGGATTTCTCGTTATGAAACTGGTTTTTGCACTTAACAATTGAAAACACTATCTATATCCCCTGAACTGTTTCACTATAGACTACACTGGAAGAATAAGACCAGCTTGTTTTTGGGTCCTGATGACCTGAATTCAAACTGTGTGTTGCATTTGGCTAAATAATTCAGCACAGTAAGTGTCTTTCAGACAATTCCATTTTCATAACCTTAGTCTACAGGTTCGAACACAAGTGCACTTGCTTTGTTTAACAAAAGTTCTGGCAATACGTAAATTAAAATAAAGACTTCAGGAGTTTTGTTAACGACACTTCACTTATCTTATTTTACCATTTTGTTGCAACTAGCGTTTCATCATCATCGACACCAATATCATCACATCTTAGTAATTTCACTCACTCACTTACTATCAAACTCAGGATATATGGACGGTACTTTCATCTCACATAAGAATATACCCATTACCGTAGTCCTTCTCAAAACGTTCAGTATAGCTCATCCAAAAGTTTAGTTCACATGTGAAACAGAGAAAGATAATAATTTATCATTTCTTGATGTACTACTAACAAGAAGACCAAGTGACAGTATTATGTGAGATAATTTTCGGAAGGAGTTTTGGGTTGTCTAGCTCACCCACTTCGGATTGTTTAATCCTCTTGCTCACAAAAGAAGTCTCTCATCCATACTACAATGTTTCATGCCAGAAGAATTTGTACAACCGACACTGTGGACAACAAAATATGGAGAAAGTGTAAGCGAATTATGTGAGATTGATTATTCAAGGAAAATGTGTTAAATTCTACATGGCGAGGATAGATGGAGAGAAATGCCTGCCAACTGTGTGGAAGAAATGTATGTACACCACTCCGTCGTTTAAGAAAGGCATGGGCAGTAAATTGGTGGCATCGAAACTCGGAAATATAATAGCCTAAATATTCACATTAGATAGGTTCATTTTGTACATTTTACGCATAGAATAGAGGGTATCGCCTCAATTCTGTAATAATCTGTACGCTTTCGATGGCTTAGCAGAGCTGACGCGGTCACCATAAAAGATTTTCCACCCAATTTCTGCATTCAGAAACAGTTTCTTCAATGCTTCTTCATCTCTTCCCCCTCCACCTAGAATAGTTATCTTCACCTGTAACACTGGATGACTGTAATAATCATCATTATTTTGTACTGTTAACTTTATCTTTATTATCAGTGTCCTATTGTTCTATAATTACATATGTTAATCGTAACTGCACAATTACTGACTTATAAGAGTAAGCGCTATCACCAAATCGCTGTAAGGCAGTAGCTAATTTTCAGGTCACCCTTACAAGTGTACACTTTCTGCTTACACATTGTCCACCTTGGTTAAATAAACACTTGAGTGGATGTATCCTTGTTACTGTTATTCTGAACACCTCGATTGTCGTTCACTGATTGACACACCTGAACTTTCGTTCTGTTAACAACAAATCTCTGTGACAACCATTTGATTTTGTAACCATCAGTCCTGATGAGAAATTTCCGAAAACACGTTTTTGGTTAAATTGTGTTCTAGAAACAACTAAACTGCTCTCTATTGTCTTTTGTATGACTGTATGGCTATGAAAATGAAATCGCCGAAAAATCAGTTAGTATTAAGTAGTAGTTTGGTGTATATGGTAGGAAAAGCAGACTGAATCTACGTGTGTGGCCAGTATAGATGCATGATCCTGTCATTTAACTCAATCTGACATCATATTAAGATTGATTAGCACATCTAGCTCAATCCTGGAGATGGTTGAGTGTGACTTGAGTTGCATAGCTTTAAAGTGTCACAGGGTGTCTTGAGCTTAAGTACAGAGCTAAAATAAGTGTCATAACTCTTGAAGGTGTGCCTTGTTGAAATGTAACTGCAAGTTGTAAACCCAAATCCAGCAGTTTCAGAGGCCGACTCCGCAAAATCGTTTAGAGTTTTCGCACTTATTATTGGTGTCGAGTCTTGTCGTGATTGGTGTATTACTTCCCGTGTTGTCGTTTATCATCTAGTCATATATTGACCAGATGTGAGTAGAGTCGATTGAAGACTCTTGTCATTACAACAAAATGGCGTACATGTAGAGACCCCACATCGACTGCTCAGTAGGATCACTTTTGAGTTTTGTACCTTAGGAATTAGAATGCTCCTTTGACAGAGTGTTTACTTCAGACACAAAGTGGAACCCATCCTAGTGAATACCTTAATAAGAAACTCAAGTTTGTTAGAGAATTACTTGGTAGAAATTCTTGATAAATCTATCAATTTAATGCCAAGACAAGCAAGAATATCGGGTGCTGCACAGAACTCACTGCTCTCAAAACTTCAGTTCCTTGGTGATAACATCAGTGAAATAGAAATAACACAACGCGTAAGGAATTCAGTAAAACGAGCATTCAGTACAGCAGGGTTGCTCTGTCTCTTCACAACCACTGCAATTTCTCTTTTGAGAAGCAAAGATGAAGTACCTGAGTTTTCCGACTCTGTGTACATCTACCAGTTTGACTGTTTCTTTGAAGAAAATCAAGTTGAGAACGCAATTAGGCATATTTAGTATCGGATTTCGGAACATCAGGTGCACGCGACGTTCTGTTTGAACTCACCTTGTTGATAGTGAAAGTCAGGTTAATGTTGGCTGGGCATTAGAGATTATAGCATTCCAAATTATCTTCATTTGGGCTTGCGAATTCGTTTTCTACATACAGCTAAAGCTATCGTATTTCACCTGAAGTCAAACTTGTGTGTTGAGAAGAAGTTCGTACAGCCGATTTTCTTATCCTGACCATCCTTTCACAAATGTGAGGAGGTGACGATTTCCGCTCCATCATAGGCACTAAAAAGTTGTTGTTGCTCTGACCACACAATTATTTTGCCCACTTCGTCTTTATATACTACTTATGTATTCAGTTTGAGCAGTCATTCACTACTGAGCTCTATATTTAACCTTTACCCTAGTAAGATTTTCTGTTTATCCGGCGTTGGCATTGCGTCCTTCCCAATGTGCGTGTTTTGCATTGATTCGGTGAAAAGTTTCAATATTAGATTATTCTGTCCAAATGGCTAGATGAGATTCATATGCGGGAAAATGTTACCCTAATTGAGTTTGTATGCGTAATCCGGCTTTCATCTTATTAATATTATTATTATTGTTTTAACGACCTTATTTTCGTGCCACGTTAATTTTCTTTCATCTCTTATCTGACATTCAATTTAGGACTACATATTTATGTGAATTATAACACACTCATGCTTCAGAACAGTGAACTGTTAATCTAAACAGCTCAATATTACTTAGAAATCACCAATATTGTCGGTAACAGTTATTCGTTAAATGTTATGTATGTATATAGAAATGGAGAACCTGGTGAGGAAATTATCGTAAAGTAGAATATTCCTTGCCCATTATTT